TTCTTCGGTTTTTCACGCTCCTACACAATTCGGCTACAGTGTAGTAATTACGCGCCGTTCACGGTTGCATCCTTCAAAGATAATAAAGATGGTGAACAATTTCGGTACACTACATTGCACACTCTAGATTCTAGATTTTGTACTTGATAGATACAAGAAGAGGTTGAAAGGCAAGTGTTTGACACATAAAACCTGTCAATATCACTTTCAGAGCTTCACAATAAGCGATTTTATAATTCGTGAGAGTTAACTCAGAGTGACCGCTCGCGAGTCGTAAAATCGCTGATTGTGACTCTGAAAGCGAATGTGATATTAGAGCTTTTGTCTGTTTTCAGCTTTGTGCTCTGCTTTGTGCGAATGTGATATTAGAGCTTTTGTCTGTTTTCAGCTTTGTGCTCTTTGTGCTGAAACCCGTCCACAGTTATTAATTGAGAGCTTTCTTGGCCAACCAATGCATTAATCTGTATATTGTGTGACGAGCACAATCTCAAAGAAGTTGAGAAAACTTTCAACCCGATTAAATTTTTGGTAATCGAGTCTTAACAGACTAGACCAGGCTATCTTAGACCCAATTTTAGGCCCTACACCATTTAAATCCCATGAACTGGTGAATCTCTCCTATTATCGTCTTTTATGACAAGTGTCTCAATGCTAGTAGGGTTATTTGATCTAATTTCCGTCCCGCGCCTTACCTCTCTTTTTCAAACGGATATGAACAAAAAATGGAGTGATTGTCCTATAGATGACTTTTAAATTTATTAACCTTATCATACGTACCGTTGAATTAGATAAAAAAAAATCACAAATTGTTGAGATGTTGTGAAAAATCTAACACTGCTTCTTGATTCCGAATTCGTCCTGTGAGTTTCAATTTCGTCCAAACGGATTGAAACACTATTTGATTTTTTTTTGTCCTACGGGTGAATGGGGAACGCCGTTCGGCATAAAGTTGTTTGACATGAAGTCGTTTGGCATAAAATAATGGTCGTTTCGCATGACAATATCAAAATCTCTTTCAGATGCAAACATAATATAAATAATACTACGCACTTCCACTACAGCATTTTATAAATAGCTACACTGGCACTTCCGCCTCACTGGCGCACTGGAGTACTTTCAATAATAATAATAATATACAATATAATAATAATAATAACAATAGAAATTTTCGCTTCGTTCAAACATGAGCTGTTCTTTCGAGTTTTATTGTTGCAGTAATTATTGGCGCTTTCTGACTGTTCCTCTTATATCGCGCAACCAATGAAATAAAAATGTGTTTTTTTTTTAATTTGATACATAACTAAATGTCCGATACTTCCTATCTTATCATGTTTCCAGCTTGCGTTTTTAAACCTCATTAAAATTTAAACGTTTCTATTGTTTTATGTCAAGTGACCTTTATGCCAATAGGCTTTGTGTTGTTGCTTATGAACTAATGCATCGGAAAACACGTATTATATACTTGTACACTGGTGAAATCATTGATATTATTGATGTTTTCTGTTCGATAGAACGGAAATGCGCGTTTAAGACACGGGTTTTCTCGAAAACCTCTAACTTTTTGCATCTCATACCAGACGACAGCAAAATTGTGAGGGCAAGAAGAAAATGATGACAGGTTTCACCTTGCCGCAGCGTTTCAAGTTCAAGTCAATAAACGACCACCAGCAGTAGTGGATTGAAAGGTAGGCAAAAGCAGTGAGGTTTAGGTCGGCGCTTTAACCCACACTTTGGCATACATCACCCGCTATGCCTTGTTCCCGCCCCACCAAGAAGGCACGCGATTTTCCCCATGTTTTCTTTTGTTTTTATCGTGTTCATTCAAAGTGTGCTGGCAATCGTATTTTCTCCCATCCCTACTCCCACTCTCGCGCATACATACGGTCAATTGTGATTCCAACGGTCCTTCATCCAACCAGTGACCTTCGGAATTCCGTTATCGCTCCAAGATTCCTCTTTCTCCGTTGGGTCGTTTGACCGGATTTTGATCCACATACTGCGCTAGCAGTAGATCTGAGTTGAGAGCTAGACCGACCAGTGACCAGGTCGAACGCTCGCACCGGTGAAAGAAATTCAATTCCATTTATTCTTCTCGCATCGACAGACACTGTAACACACCTTTAGCACGCAATCGAGTCAATGGGAAACCGTCGTCATTATCAAACACTCAATTGTACGAGGCAAATGGCTTTGGCTAATTGTTATAATGCCTTTTGCTACTAGGTAGTGTGGTTGGTTTACGACCCACAGCAGCGCTCGCGTTTCGAATATTTTGCTGTTTTGTTATTTAGTTTCCGTTTATCGAACGTGTGGGTTTAAGTTAACTAGGCCTTCTGTGGTGTATTGAATTTATTGGTTTCCAAAAACGTAACACTCGAGCAACGCACAACAATCATATAAACATATAAACATGCATCCATTACTACAACACAGTAAGAGGAAATCCAGTGGAAATGTAATAGGATGATGAGCTTCCCGTCACTTCATTATAATTTTATGAGCATTGCTTGTTTCGTAACTGCTTAAGATATAGCGCTTCAAGGAGTTTTCAAGAAGGTTTCGATTTGAACATATGTTGATTCTTGTAGAAACGAGGATTTTGCTAGCTTTGATTCAATGGTTCCTCCATGTTCTGCCTATACACAGAATGCCTATTTTAACAAGTTTTAGCTTGTACTCATCTCATTTTCCGACAGGTGCATAAAAATGGGATGTTCCGTATGCGCAACATTTAAGTAACAAATTAGTACCTGGTTCTGGCCGCCTTAAATCGTCTCAACGGTACAAAGTTGGTAAATTTGTTTGCGAATCATTTTTGTGCTGATATTATTATATTTTTGCGCAAACTTTCTCACACACACGTGTCTTGCCCATCATGTGTGCTTTGTCTCTCAATATCTTTTTTTTTTCAAAAACACTTAATTTTACTTAAAGTTGTTCAACCGTAATAAAAAAATATGATTATACCTATTCCTACTTTCAGATTGTCAACTTGCGAACAATTTCTGATCTTTTGACGATGGACACATTTTGAGGGCTATGATGCGCACCTCATATTATTGCTTTATTGATAAAGCGAATAACCGGTTTTTGGCAAGTTATACGCATACGCATCAGCGCATCTTATTTTCTTCCTATACCTTTGCCCCTTCCACTTCCATCATACCAACTTTGTAAACAAGTCTCGGACCCTTCTTATTATTCCTATTGATTTCATGCTGGGAAGCTGAGACTGCTTTGAAATAAAGCTGGGTGAGGACGGAACTAACCGACACATCGCTACTGCACGCTAAGTTCTTAAAATAGCGATCGACTCTTGAAAAATGGCAAAATCGCATCAATGAAATGTGAACTTAAACTGAAATAAACAGGTTTGCCAAATTGAAGGTTTTTTTTAATGTGACTAATTAAGTAGAACCAACATTAGGCTAACGCGTCACGGGACTTATAACGAGATGAATAAAAGCACTTATATCGTTGTTAGACAATAGCTTCATGTGGAATAAAGTTACTTCGGTGAGCTAGCAAAGGCACTATAAATTTGCAATGAGGAGAGAAATAGAATTTATTCCACCACATGACGCTTCATCATCACACTGGGCTAAGCGACGTCAGTCACGTGTAGTAAAATGCACACTGATAGTACTGCCTTTGGGAAAGCATCTTTGCAGTTATAAAACATTATTCACTGGACAGTATCCAAGGTTGTCGTATGCTGTGCTTGTGTGGGAAAATGAATTACAGTAATGACCCGATTTTGTCAGCCCTCGGCGCATCAGACTTTTTTCTTTCAATAATTTCACTTAACGGTAATTCCAAATCTTTCTCTTCATATTCAAGATGGATGTTTTTGGTATGCTTAGGTGCAATAAGACCACTAAAAAGCGCTTTTGTTTTGTAGAATAGAAAAGATTTTCAGATGAGCTTGCACTTCAGGTTGAACATTCAGTTATTAATTCTAAGCTCAAACCTTCATGGTAGATCGTTCATAAAAAATCACATTAGGTTTATTATCTATGAACACGACACATTCATTCGAATCGCTTTGCACCTCCAAATATATTGATCGTGATTCATCAGGTGTCTGTAATTTTCTCTCCATCACATACGGGTAATGTGTACCTAAATGCCCCCCTTGGAACTACGTTAAATATATTGATTTCGCTTAAATGGCGCTCACTCTACAGGGAAAAAAAGTGAGGATCTGTAATTCTTCTTTTATGTCCTAAAAGGGACGAATTTCTGCCAAAACTGAATCCATTACTCAGCAACTGCGGTAGTTAGACGTTTGCGAGTCTCGCCATAAATTTGGATCGAAAAGTAAAAATCAGTCACGGAAATTACCTATTCATTCCCCTGTCGCACAACTTTGACATGCAAGTTGAGACTTAATAGATGACTGTCTGTGGCGTTTCGTTTTGCCATTATTCATCGAGTTTTGTGTGCTGTGTTACAATGAGGTGTTTCGTACTGTTTCTTACAGCATTCACAACCAGATTGCGAGCCGCCTTCGATCGTATGGGCTGGTGCAAAAATCGACTTTAGAATGAATGAATGGTGTACTTTGTTAGGTATATTATTTCTATTATTGTTATTGCTAAAAGGAGTTAAACGTAAAAAAAAATCTCATCGAAAAAAAAAATTTGCCTTCAGATGCAAAACTGACGGCCAATCATACCAACTCAGCGACTGAGAATAATTGACTCAGAGAATTTTCTTTCCATACGAAATTTACTCAGATTTGGAAGAAACTGCAGTTACTCGTAGCTGCCAAATCTGAGTAAATTTCGTATGGAAAGTCAATTATTCTCAGTCGCTGAGTTGGTATGATTGGCCGTGCTGATTTATCTACCTCTTGCAGGGCGACATCTGTCGGATTTGATACAGGAAAGTAATACTCAATTGTTGTCGATTTCCATTTTTTTTTTTCGTATTTCTATTTGCCGCATGTTCAAATGAAATGTCAACTAATTTCCATCTTATCTCGTTTACCATTACAGGCGAAGGAAATTTTGGCAAAGGAGTCAAATGTACAGGAGGTAAAATGTCCGGTAACAGTATGCGGCGATGTGCATGGTCAGTTCCACGACCTGATGGAGCTCTTCCGGATAGGCGGACGATCGCCGGACACTAATTATCTGTTCATGGGTGATTACGTTGATCGTGGCTATTACTCAGTCGAAACAGTGACGCTACTAGTGGCGTTAAAGGTATTGTAATTCACGCGTGTATTTCACGTTGCGTAACTACTTCAACCCACGTCCTTGCAATTCCAGGTTCGATATCGTGAAAGAATCACAATCCTGCGCGGTAATCACGAATCCCGCCAGATCACACAGGTGTACGGCTTCTACGATGAGTGCTTACGGAAGTACGGCAACCCGAACGTCTGGAAGTATTTTACCGACTTGTTTGACTATCTCCCACTAACGGCGCTGGTGGATGGCCAAATCTTCTGCTTGCATGGAGGTCTGAGTCCCTCGATCGACACGCTGGATCACATTCGGGCGTTGGATAGACTGCAGGAAGTACCACACGAGGGACCGATGTGCGATCTCCTCTGGTCCGATCCTGATGACCGGGGCGGCTGGGGAATATCGCCTCGCGGTGCTGGTTACACCTTCGGCCAGGTATGCTCATGAAAGGGGAAATTGCGGCTATAATTTACTACTAAAAACCATTCTTCTGTTTCCACAGGACATTTCGGAACTTTTCAATCACTCAAACGGTCTGACGTTAGTATCTCGGGCACATCAGCTTGTCATGGAAGGCTACAACTGGTGCCACGACCGTAATGTTGTTACAATATTCTCTGCACCAAACTACTGTTATCGTTGCGGTAATCAGGCAGCATTAATGGAATTAGACGATTCTTTGAAATTTTCATTGTAAGTATTGCTGTTGTTTATCAACACCTTTTGTAGCGACTTCTAAATAGTGGCTTTACTATGAAATAAGCTGTTGTGTAGGCAATGATAAGATAGAAAGTCCTTGCGCGTTGAATTTTTGGCAATCGATGCTCTGAAACATGATGTATCCTCATATAAAAAACGAGCACTGAAGGAAGTCAGTTACCCCCTGACGATAATAGGTAAAGATATTACCGGAGCCGTCATTTTTTTTTTTTTTTTTTTTTTTTTTTTTTTTTTTTTTTTTTTTATACAGGGGGGAATCTGCTCCCAGACACCTGAGAAGATAACTCAGGGTGTGGGGATGGGAGAAGTAGCTCTCCCGACCCACTAAACCTTACCCTGTGCTCTAGGCCCTTGCCCTCCCCGGAACCGCCCGAAAGCATTACGTCATGGGAGGGGGCCGGTTGCGCTATGGCGCATCACTAGGTGTTGTGTCCGACGTGACACTCGCTACTGCACAGTGAGCAGCTGTGCAGGGCCTTCCTCTTGTTGTTCGTTGTTCGCCTGAGTTCTAGAGCAGACGTGATAGCCAGCCAACTGTCCAGGGCCCATACAGGACAGATGTGACCGCTTACCAGCTGCGTGTGCTAAGCACTCTAAGAACCCGGCGTCACTCCTGCCTTTGCACAACGAGGGTTTGTGCAGGGCTTCTCTGCGGTAGTTCGTTTAGCCGCAATATCTCTCCCTTGGGTTCGATAATTAGCGTTTCCAGGGCACACCACGAGGAGGCGAACTACTTCATGCCCCAAGCCGGAGCCGTCATTTAACCTGTATCAAACGACAATATGAAAAATGGGTAGATCCTTTATTATTTTACCATTCAGACTAAGGCCTGTGTGTCCTTTGCTCTAAACAGAAGTCATTCCACTCGATCCATGGTTACATGTTGTGACCTTCAACTTGGTCGATCCACCTTGCGCGCCCCTTCGTTTTTTCAGTCGGGTCATTGTCGAGAACCACCCCAGTCCTTCGTATTCGACGATTTTTGCAGTGTGAACTATGGATGGTTCTTCCAGCAGCTGGTGCAATTCACGGTACAGCAGCTGGTGCTCTTCCACGTTCCGTATTCCATCTGCACACCACTGTAGATGGTAACCCTAATAAAAAATAACCATAAACGAACGATAACCCAAATAATTGAACTTTTCCACTAATGGTTTGGAAGATACCCAGAACACGTCGTTAAGCAAAATAACCGTAACAATTGTATTAGGGAAGCTACACTTTTCGCTCAAAACACCGTGGTCCTATATGAGCATACTCCAGTTGTAGAGGACTACCGGGCTAATCAGCGTTTTACAGATAGTGGACTTCCTGCTCCGGCGAACTTTATTCGACCGGAGTGGCCTTCGAAGTCTAAAATAAGCAATTCCCTGTCACAATGCTCGTTTGAATTTCTCTGATGGTGTCATTATCACCTCAATTTAATAGCCGTCAATCTTAAGTCATGTTGGGAAGCCACTATTATCTTCCTCTCAAATATTTTGCCTTCGATGCATTAATGACAAGTTCATTCCGAATGGCTTTAGCCTTCAGTCTGATGTCGATGTTCTCGGAGAAGTCAAGAAGCTGGACGAACTTCCCGAAAAGCGAAACTCATGTCTATAACCGATCTTCGGATTACAGCTTCCAAAACGATACTAAACAGTAGCGAAAGCCCATCACCTTGGCGGTAACCTTCTTCGAGGTTCGAATGTGCAATATGAATGTGGCATAACTGATGTCGATTTATTGTGCCGTACTTTGAAAAGGATGAATAAATTATGTGTGAGCACGTTGTATTCACATAAGAGATAAACTTGTATGTGGCGCTCAGCAGCGGTTGTTGCAGCAATCCAACTTGTCGCCCTTTTGTAGATTGGATGGATACACGATACCTTCCATCTTCTCCCAAATCTTGGTATAGCGTTCTACTGCCGCTCTTCGCATGTCGGTCCCATAGTCGTTTTTGTCAAAACTAAGTTTTTCAATGCAAATGGTAGCTGATCACCCATGTTTTCATAATTCTGGATCAACTCAACAACTTTGCTCTGAACAATTTGCTAAGACAGCCAAATTAGTTGTCCCATCACTTAAAATGCGATTTTCTCGGCTTGCTGTTTATCACAGGACGGAGATGCGAAGAGCGGCAGTCTAGCCAGTGTTCACTACTGTACACCGAAAATAGTTTTTATGTAGCTTCCATTGGAAACGCACATGATTTTTATCTATAATCAAAATTAATGGAATACATTTGAATTGCACATAACATTTATGCGATTCCATTAATTTTATATGATTTTCATCGGTCTCATAATATTCATGTGATTTTGTGGTAGGATTTGCAGCCACAGGAAAGCTATGTGAAAATCACATGGAATTTTCATCCATAGATATGTGATAAATTTTTTGAGTGTATGTTAACAACTCGCTTGTTAGTTGGTCAACACCTGCGGCTTTATTTTGTTTAACCGATCGATCTCTTCGTCCGATCTGTTGTCTTCTCCTTCTGCGCTCTACAGTAAATTGGGTTCTTTAATTTTGAAAAATATATCGGTTTTTATACATCATCTGAAAGAGCTTCGTTTTCTGAGCACAGCGATATTTTTTTCAAACCCACACACTTTCATCTCGATTTTTAAATCAATATTTAAAGCAAAATAATAACATCACTGTTTGACACTAAACTGACAAACTGACAGCTCGCTCCCATACAAAGTGACACCGAGGGGCGCTAATAAGTTGATTTTTGCAAATGTAATCATTCTGATTTTAAATAGTTCCAGTGTACCAAAATTGATGAAATTTTGGGTTTGGATTCCATTTCTAATGCAGATTACGAATATGCATTTACCTCAATACCCTTAAAGAACCCAATTGGTCCGGCGCTGTTCCTCTGGTAGGAAATAATGAAAATGAAAATATAGAAATTAAGATAAATGGGAATAATTCGCTTTCGATGCATATTCAGGTCAAAAAAGTGAACAATAACCTAAAGTTATCAGGGATGGGATGTCAATCTAACTGTATAGAGGTACCATACATGTTGTGACCGCACTGCCCTCTATTTACGATAAACGGAACTAAGTGTATGCGTAATTTCCAATAGAATTCAGCATTAAGAACAGCAGTGACATCTGCAGGAAAATTAACGCAGAAGCATGGTAACATGATTAATTTACTGCCAAAAACAGAATATCATAAATTAAAACAGTAATCACCAGGTGAATTAATTTGCAAAAATAAATTAAGTATGCAAAATCCCAAGATGGCAACAGTGTAGAAAAAATTATCTGATCGCAGCATTTGATTGTACTTTAAGAGAAGAGGAGACAATACGGGGACTTTTATGAACCAATCACCTGTCAAACGCGAACCAGCGCCTGATTGGTCGAGCGAACGTATATCTTATCTTTATCTCTCTTTATTAAAGAGACTTTCAGCGAACGTATAGAAACGCGAGAAATTTTACAACAGGGAATCTATTTTCTTGTATTTTGACAGTCGACTGTGTCACCCATAATGAAATACTTTTTGCACGGTCGTTCCGCGAGAGAAGAAAAACACGTCACATACAAAAAGAAGGCAGTTATCTCCTCTTCCTCTTGGATTTTACTCAAAGATTTAAGTATCAGGCATGCTTACAGATTTGATAGTTTTGAACAACTTTCAAGAATTTACCAACATTATATATCGAAGCATTTTGGTGTCAAATCATTTTTAAGAATTTGTAAACTTTAAAATTCAATATTCAATTTAATTTTTGCTCGATTTAAATAATTATTGTAATGATCGAGCTGCAGGCATTGAACCGATTATACGTTATCCACACCGAGAGGAATAAGCGCTTTTACCAATTTCTACAATAGCTGAGAGCGAACTGGAGCCACATTATGTACGCAAGTCAGTTCCTAACTACAATAACAGTGTCGAGAAGAACTCCTTTTCAGCACCCAGTGCCGAAAAGTTCTCCTAACCAAAAAGTGACGCCATTGAAAGTTATGTAAAATTGGGTTTCATTGATCTAAAAAAATAGAAAAGCTTTGAACATTCAAGGATAGAATAGGGAATTTAAATATTGAAATCTTGTTTAAACGGTTAAGAAACGGGTTGCTATATAATGGGAATACTACTCAGTTATTAGTGCACTAAATCTTTGTTTGTTATTTGCAGCCTACAATTTGATCCAGCTCCACGTCGCGGTGAGCCTCACGTGACCAGAAGAACACCGGACTATTTCCTTTAAGAATATCATTATAACGAATATTGTAATACACACTACAAATTAAACAAAAAAAAATATACCTAATAATAAAAAAATATAAATAATAATTATAAGCATATTATTATTTAATACAAAAAAAGAATAAAAATCGCAAAAAAGTTTGTTAGAGACTTGCAAGGAAAAAAAGGTAAAAGAGACTCGTAAACCGTATTATTAAAAGCATGGACTTACTTAGAAGAGATAATAACCGGTAAAACTGCAAGGTTGAAAACATTGAGCAACAGACAAAAACTAAGCCTGGAAGTAATTTCACCTCACATTTGCTATACTCACAAGCCAGAATTCAAAGAGAAAGAAAACACCCACACACAAACACACGTACACAGCAACATTCATTCTCGTGGAGAAAAAATAGTTAAAAAATTTACTAGGAAAAAAGTGCGAAGGCAAGGGAAGATTAAGTGCATATACTCATACACAATCGTCAATCCACACATACATAAAAAGGAGAAGGAAGTATAGGTACATTCACACATCCCACAAGAAGAAGCTCATTCTATCTTTTTGCCATAAACTGATATATAGCTAGAAATTCGCGTTCATATCCATCATTCGCGTGGATCAATTTTTCCTTGTTCTTTTAATTTGTACCTACCTACTGAACACTGTGTTAGTCCGTAAAAATAAACAAGTAAGACATGCAAATCCAAGGAGAAACAGGACGACGAGAATAGGCATTGTTTTTTTTTCGATACAAACGCTTTATGTCAATGATGATTGTTCAATGCAGATGCGAGAGAATAAAGTGTATGAAATTTAGAATAACCGATCGTTTTCTCTAACAAGCAATGGATAGTACCTCGGAATCCTGGTATACCAACTAACTGATGATGAAGAAGTCGGGTTCCTATCTCTGTAGCGTCCTCCAAATTTGATTCAGTTAAATTCGAGCTACTCACATGTGCGGTTTTGCCAAAATAAGTAAAAATTCCACTCAAATTCAAGGGTTGCCATAATGAGTATCTACAGGTACATTCGACAGCTCGATAGTATTTTGACTATATTTTTAGTATTACTTCTGTGTGAAGTCAACGATTTACATAGTTGAAGATGCTAATATCAAATAACAGACTAAAGTGGTAATTTTTATACGAAAGATGAGGAGATGAAAGTATACATAGAATTGATAGTTCCGTTAGAGTACGGCAGTGTGAAAATTGCATATAGGAACAATCAATTCTATACTTTCATCTCCTCATCTATCGTATAAAAATTACCACTTTAGTCTGTTATTTGAAATTAGCATCTTCAACTAAGCTCGATAGTGTTTGCAGTCGTACAAGCGCACGTCTATGTTCGTACGGAGGTAAGGGTTGGTTCATGGAAGCTGTCGAAATCGAAATTTGACAAAACGTTTTTGGATTCTCTCGATACGCGTATATCTTGTACTCTATATTCGCTCCATAAATCAAAATGTCTACACAGACTATCAAACGTCTTCAAAATGAAGACATTTCTTTAAATCTGGCGTCCCTGTGCTACGGTTAATGAATTTATTGGAGTTGAACAAGCGTCGGCAGAAGTTGGCAGAATGGTTTGCAAAAGATGCATCGGTGGAATAGCTTCGGTTACAGTAATTCCAGTCAGAAACAGTGCATTTGTAACCGAACTTTCTGATTGTACATCAAGAGCATTCGGATCGTGTTTTTTCTCCGGATAATAACAAAATTCGTACATTTTTCGGGTTTATGTGATATTCAGTATGAAGCGGTATAAAAACCCTACAACAGCAAAACAAAACGAAATTTTAGCTTAAATTCTATAAAAACATTCAAAATTTGGATTTTTCACCTTATTATAAACGTGTGGTTCTGTAAGACCCTATGAATTATTCTTTTTTGCATAATTTACCTCAAAATTTTCGGTAATCATAAATTTTGCTCTCGCCAATTTTTGTCTAAACGACACCAAATGACAAATCGGAAAAACTCGACCGTCTCCGATTTGCATGGCAATCGTTAACATTTTTGCAAAAAAATCGGCCTTTTTGGATCTTTGATTTTTGGCATCTTGTACATTTTTCAATAAATTGTAGCTCGAAAATGTCACGACTTATCAAAATGACGTCCGAGACAAAGTTGTAGAGAAAAATAAAATCTTTTTGGTAAAAATATAACAGGTATTATTTTTTTTTATTAATAATGAGTAAAAATTCCAAAATAGTTATAAAAAATATCTCAAAAGCATAGGGGAAATGACGGCTTCGGCATGACAGACTATTTTCGGCAACCCAAATTGAAACACTATTTTCACTGGATTTTCTTACGAAAACACTTCGCTGAATGCATGCAAACGATTCTTTATGCTTTCAGCTTCAATTTGACTATATTTTTACCACTGAGAAAAAGCAATCCAGCAAGGTTTTCTTGAAATGAAACACACGCACTACAAATTGTAGCTGATTTCGAGTTGCCGATAATAGAACAGCAGATTTACATGCAGTTCAAATGGAACGGTTGCCGAAGAAAAACTGGTTGCCGACAATACTCGCTCTCACTAGAGAAGATTGGAGCTTTGTAAAAGCGTTTCAAAACAGTTTTTGACAATTCTTTCGACTGAAATTGTTAGAGCAGCTGGCAGCAATAGATTGTAAACAAACCAATACTGCATATGTGTGCGTTCCTTAGAGAAAAAAGCTATAGAAAGAAGGTCGCTGCTTAGTTTGCCGAGAATACGTAAATTCCCCTATTCAATGTAATTTGTAAATAAATTTTGTTTAGTAAAAAGCTCATGAAAAAATGCAAAATTTTGAACATTTTACTAGTAAGGTAAAGTCGGGCAAGATGGATCACGGGGCAAGATGGGTCAACTAGTACATTTGTTAATTTATTTGATTGTTAAAATCATCAGGTTCAATGCAACCCCAATGATGGTTTGTAAATCAATAAAATTAATAAATTAGGTAGATGACACATCTTGCCCCAGCTTCCTCGACGTTTTTTTTTAATATAATTTCTGCATAGGAAACAATACTTGCGACATTCTAAATTGTTTTCTGTGCAAAAATTACATGGAAAAGCTTGCTAACAAGAAGTTTAAAAATATGACCAAAAGTTGATGTCCTACAAGTATCCATAGTTTTAAATATTCCAAAAGTTTGCAGTTTTTCTGACCTTTTTCTATACATTTTTTTTTTAAATTGAAAAAGCTTTATAAGATATCCAAGTTTTTATTTTTTTCGGATTTTTTCTCAAAATTACTTAAAATACTGTGTATATTTTTTTCCAAGAAAGACTTCAGATCAGAAGGGACGTTTTCGTGCTACAATTTATTGAAAAATGTCAAAGACGGAAAATTGAAAAAAAAAACTACAAAATCCAACATGGTTAACATAGCGATTTTTTACAAAAATGTGAATGATTGCCCACAGTGATGCAAAATATCATGACACTCACGTGACACTCGTCTTCGCATTAACCGACTATCGCTAACAGATCGTTTTGTCACGCAGTGAGAGTTAGAGCCATGGCAAACAACAATCACCAGTAATGGTCGCTGCTCACAAGCAAAACGTTACACTCGCTACTGATGAAAAGCACAACGAAAACAGTGAAGACTTCTGCAGTACCATCATGAGAAAAAGTGAAACGACAGAAGAAAATGAAAACAATGCCTACGCATTCCAAGTTCGTCTCGGCAGGCGCGACTGTGTGAGTTACAAGCAAAGCAGGCAACATGAAACGGAAGCTGTTGGGATCACTCACCAACACACTCACATAATCAAGCAAAGCAGCAACTGCTTCAAAACGAGCACAGATGAGTGTCGTGATTGTCGGGAATGACCAGATCGGTGATGGATCACAACAGAAGATGACATTCACCAGTTGCTTTTTACTTCTTTCGTCAACTTGATGGATGGTCATGGAGAGAGCTTCGACGAGCGTATTGATAGGAATGTACAAAGCGTTATTACCATCAGCTGTTTGGCGATCGTGATTGTGATAGGTCGCAACTCTGATTGCCCATAATAAACAATTATGCAAAATTTCATGCAAATCGGAGAAGGATTTGGCCTGGTACTGCTTTGTATTCAACTGAGATATATGCCAGCAAAACCATTTCCGCATGTTCAACTTTTATAATTCTGCTGTTTTCATAGCCAAAACCCAAAAGTGCGTTAAATTTCGTACAGTTCCGTCTTATACCGCATACCCTTAATTGTCAGGTAAGTGTCACGCTATTATTACAGACAAACAGACATAACGCTCGCAAGTTGTTCATCGAACAAGCATTTAGCGATTAATTTAAAAGTATCGTATTTGGTAGTACCATAGAGGTAACTCTAAGGCCAGACGGTCCCGAAGAAACGAGCTCAGCTCTGGTACTATCTTCGGTCCCAAGCTAATCGATGCACCCCTCGAAACATAGGAAAATCCACTAACCCCTCATTTTATCAGTCAGACTTTCATAGCGAATCAAAACAAACATAGTGTAGTACTGGAATTTATACTAGAATGGGGTACGTTAATCGATTTGCTTGGGACTAATAGGCTAGTCAAGTAGTGAGCCAATTTAAAATTGATAGTTTCGTATTGATTGTTGGTAGTAGTACCGCCACCTGTGGCGCGCATAGTCAATCCCCTTGTGTTTGACATTTACACACTACTGCCATCTGTTCAGCGTACTACCCACCACAGTGTACTCAACAGATGGCGGTAATGTTTTACCAACGATGTTTTACAGTGATGAATATTCAATGTGTTATGTCTGTTTGTCTTTGCTATTATCTTAATTTTGACAAAAACAATATTTTTTCCTCCCGAATAAATGACTACCATACACTAACGATATCATAGATAGTACTACCATACCACATAAAATTGGGATGATATCGCGAATTGGTGTATAGGCGCTTGTTGCAGTTCCCCGGTAGCGGTAGAGCGAAACTACCATAGGGTGGACCAATCACAAACACTTAGGGCAATGTGCACCAACAAAATCAAAGTAGGGATGCGTGATCGTTTTACGTACATTTATTAATCCCCTCATTTCTCTTCCTATCTTGCCTTATTCCTCCTCCCATCCTGCTTCCTCATTCTTCATAACTTCTTCTTTCAAACTACAGATAATCTTCTTGGTACTCACTGTTACCGGCCGGATGCACCCTTTTTTGCTGCGACTCACGCGTTGGATGGGCAAGACACAAATCGATGCTCCGGTTCACTACGTCGCAGGAATTCACGCCGTGTCCCTGTTGGATGCTTCGTCTCTGTCATGACCCGTAGTGCCCGACGACCAGTCTCGTCGAGTGGTGCGTCTTGCCGACGCCGTTCCTGGCCGTCGTACCCGCAGCTCTGTAGACTGCTTAAAAATATGACCAAAAGTGGAGCTGATGCGGGGCCGGATGATCCCACCACCTTCGTCTGAGTTGCTCCCAATTGACGCAAAAATTCAACCTAAAAAAGTATTGGAAACAAAAGCCTTCTTTTGGAAGGCTTTTTCTCCAACGCAGCGATCCGTCACAATCACGTGTGTTTCGTCTGGCTAATCGACTCCCGATCGGTTATTCCGATGGTCGGATGGTTTAACGCACTCTCGCTGCCTGACGACGGTCGAATCTTCCACTGATGCACAGTGCACTGATGTGTGCCGTTCGTGACGCAGAACTGTGTTGAAATGCACCTGTTAATTTTGACATCTAATGTATCTCAATTTGCTGGACTAACCTTTCAATCGTCGCGAAATTTCGCTGTCTGATCCGCGTTTCGATTCGATTTCCGTGGCAGCACTCACGACGAGATGATCCTCTACGCACTCCAAGGTACGGCCGATAACGTTCACTTGGCAAAGCAATGATTAACGGTCAATTTCTGCCATGCATTCGGACGTCAGTCCGTACAAGGAGTAGCACGTTCCTATGTGCTATTTACACTGCTTTTTTTTTCTTTCTTTACCACGGCAGCCCGTACCACGAATCATACCGACAATCTAAACACCACGGCACGACTGGAAAAGGAAAATGATTGTTCGCACAGTACTCTGAACCTCGCCGTTTTGGCGTGCTATCCGGACAAGGAAACTTTTGTTCTGCCGCTTTCGCTGCTTTGCTTGCAGAGCTGCCAGGTGGTTTTATAAAAAATCTGTATCCACTCTATTAAAAAATCTGTATTTTCTGTATTGACGATTTTTTTCTTAATTAATCATGTTTTGTTGTTTTACAAATACAGTGCATACAAAATAACCATAAAAAGTGCTTAACCACCTATTCGGGCTATCGTACTAACCATACGGGATATAATTGCGCCATTTGTGATATCGTCCATACTTATTTATAAGAGTGATATGAAGCCGTTTGAAAATGTATGGAGATTTTAGTTTCTATTCATTATCTTCCTGATAAGCAGTTTTAAATGCAAAAAAGTGCACGAGTTCATTACTATTTGATACTTTTAATATAGATGAATACAATTAATTACATCATTTGTGTGGTAGTTACACCGAAAAGTCGAGAGATGTCGCCCCGCCAGTGCTGGTAAAATCATTTTTGCAGTATGGAGAATATCAGAAAATCCGCAATTTCTTACGAAATACATTTTCAATGCAAGTAAAATGTTTACGAGTACTTGTATTTGTACCATTTTAATGTGCTCGGGCACTTTTCTTGTATTTAACATACATGCTTAAATTGGAAATATTCAATTAATACTGTAAATCCCCATACAATCTCAAATAGTTTACTACCAGCTCCATATGCATCCGAAAGCGGTTGGTCCTCTGGTTGTGAATGCTGTCAAAAACACCATCACATGATTAATTGTCGATGGAAATTTGATAGGTTCCCGAGCAGAGGGTGAGAACAAAATGAAAACAAGAATTATGTTGTTTTCATTATTCCTGATAACTCAAATTGATTTCATTTTGATGGAGTTGATGGCTAACAGAACAAAAATGAGAGCTAAAAGATATGCGAAGAATATCAAAATTATAACATATATTGATATTAGTGAGAACTGCTTGATAACTTATTTTGATATAGATTTTTTTTTCTCAAGCATTTTATAAAAATCTGTATAAATCTGTATTGTAATTTAAAAATCTGTGATAAATCTGTATTCTGTATCGGGTCTGTATTAAGATTAAAAAATCTGTATAATACAGATAAATCTGTATAAATGGCAGCGCTGTTTGCTTGATGGTCTGCTATGTGTCAGTGTGTGTGTGCGGCGGAAACGTTGCCAGCAAATGTTGTACACGGTAAGAAAAAAGTACCCAACGGCCAGTTCACTTTTACCTACTTTTGACTAGTTTGTCTTACTTTCTCCTTCTAATGTTGTCAAAAAAGAAGGAGCAAAACCACCCTACAGGGATAGTTAAGTGTGGGAACCCAACGTTGGGTATAATCATATTTACCTACTGTTGGGTCTTACTTTTGGTTAAAAAGCTAGTGGAAAATTCCATACGAACTGCACACAAGTAAATGAAAACTACTTTGACCCGCTTTACCTACTTTTGGGTCCCTGCACTATAGTGCCGAGATGAGTGAAAAGAACTTAATTTTGGGTATTTTTTTTCTAACCGTGTAGATGACGTTCTCTTTCTTCGTTTCGTTTCCAATGATGCGGCCCATGCTCACACAACTCTAGTCGAGGGATGGTCAACTCACGAAGGGGAGCTACCTTGGATTTGCTGCATAAAAGATTAGACACTGCTGACCCATCTTTACGAATGCAGCGAAGGTAAACACATGCGCCATACGCATATTTGGAGGCATCAGCGAAACCATGAATCTCCATTGTTTCCGTATCAGGAAGCACAACGCATCTTGGAATCTTGACATTGTTGAGGTGGCTCAATGATGTCTGGAACTCTGTCCATCGCTGGAGTAATTCACCTTCCATAGGTTCATCCCATCCAAGGTTGGTAGCCTACAGGCACTGCATGATCATCTTTGTTTCGACGATCACTAGTGACACTAATCCCAATGGATCAAATAACTTCGCTATTTGGGACAGGACACGCCGCTTCGTTGGTTTGTCTTCGTTATCCGTTGGTTCAGACGACTTGAAGAACAGGAACAAGTCTTTCTTTGGATCCCACAGAAGTCCCAAAGCCTTGATTACTTCATTTGCGCTGGAGTCCTGGATGGGCACTAGGGTCTCTCGATTTCCTTCAGGAATTCCTTCAAGCACATCTTCTGAGTTGGAACACCACTTTCGAATTGGAAATCCTCCTTTCAGCATCAACTTTTCCAAATCACGACGTAACTTCTTGGTTTACTCAATTGAATACGAACCAGACAGAATGTCGTCCATATAGGAATCATTCAGGATAACTTCGGCCGCTTCTGGATAATCCTCACTCTCGTCACGGGCTAGCTGGATAAGTGATCTCACAGCGAGAAACGACGCCGCTGATGTACCGTAGGTAACGGTTAATAACTCCAAGACCTTTAGTGCTTCCGACAGGTGTCCTCGCCAGAAGATTCTCTGGTACCGAGTCTGGGAGGAATCAACGAGAATTTTTCGGTACATTTTGGATACGTCTACGGTGAAAACGTACACACTTAGAAAAAATCATGTAAATTTAGGTGCTCTGAGACTGACATATACGAGCGTCAATTTTGACATAAAATTGAGTCATAACAGACGCGGTATTCAGCTCCATCAAACGTACTTTTCGTCGAATAATGAATATTTCAGTCTCGCAGCACTTAATATTACATGACATGTTTGTGTACGTCTCATTCTTTATGTGAAAGATGGATTCCGTCACGTGTAAAATTAGTTATTTCTAAGTGTGTAGGTATGGGTTCGAAAACGTAGTACGATGCTGAACAGGTCAGTTTGGCTGCTGGTTCCAGTCATTAGTACGTCATTCAGGGACAGTTCATTCGCTTTGGCTGTTGCGTCAAACACAATACGAAACTTTGTGCTGCTACTGGATGGCTTGAAGACACAGTGATGCGGCAGATAGTACGATTGTAGACCAGGAGGATCTTCTTCCTCGCTCACTTCACGGCAGTGACCCAACGATTGGTATTCCTCGATGAACTCCGCATACTGAGCCTTCAGGTCAGGATCTCGCGCCAATCTTTTCTCCAACAACAGGAATCGTTTCAACGCCAGGGATCTGGAACTTTTCAATTGGTCCACTGATTCACGGAATGGCAGCTGGACAACAAATCGTCCATCTTCATTACGACGATAAGTCCGTTGAAAGTGTTCTTCGAAACGTCCTTCTTCACTCGTCATCATTGCTGGTTCAGCGATTTCCTCTTGGTCGAAAAACCGCTGTAAGCATGGAAGCATCCATCGGTCACAGCAAGGTTGACACATACTGAAGAATCTTCTTGCATTTCCTCGTACGAGCCAGCCACGACCCATCCGAACTGCGTTTCGTACAAGGTAGGCAGGTGATCGGCAAGTTTGATTTGGCCTTGCTTCAGAATGTTGAAGAAATGTTCGGCACCAATCAGCATTTCCACTTCTCGTGGACGGTTGAATGAAGCATCGGCCAACAGTACACCGGATGGAATATGCCAGGAATCCACTCTAACATTTGCCGACGGAATGGTGCCAGTCACCTTCGGTGTGACGAGACAATCAACATTGGCAGTGAAGTTGCTGTAGTTGGATGTCATTCTCACCACCGTTCGATGGCGTATCTGGGAACGCGTACCATCTACGCCGACTACAGGAACATTAACTGGGAATTTCGGCAGGTTTAATTTTTTCACCACAGACTCCGACAACAAATTGATCTGTGATCCAGAATCCAACAGTGCTCAAACCTGGTGAGTGTGGCCTCCTTTAGAAGGCAGAATGACCATCGCTGTCATTAGGAACACCTGCTGGCTTGGTGAACGAAACACGCTAGAACAGGAAGCATTCACAGGCTGCTCCGCCACTGCTGGTACTGGATCTACTTCGGCTGGCTTTGGCGGCTTACTCGTTCTTACTTCAGGTTTCTCCCGTTGCTCGAAATGAACTAGACTGTGGTGCTTTTTGGAACACTTTCCGCAGGATTTATTGCAATTGAAGCACAGATTCGTCGCTTTCAGCTTGTCTTGACGCTGGTCTACGGTCATCCTTTGAAAAGTCGAGCATTTGAAATTCAGGTGCTGGCCGGAACAAAAGTCGCACGCATATACCGATGTTGCTGTTGTAGCATGCGACGACTTAGAAGGTCCACCTTTCAATGGAGCAGTCTTGGCGATCGGTACCTTAAATGCTGCGGTAGGAGTAGTGGTTTCACATCGTTCCAGAATCATGCACCGCTGCTTCAGGAATGCGATCATCTGCTCATACTCAGGAAGCTCGGACTGGTTGATTGAAGCTTCCCAGAGTTCACAAGTCTGTTCGTCTAAGGCACGTGTCAGTAGTGTCACCACAAACAACTGAGACATTCCGGTTAAACGCTGGTTGAGATTAACGAGATTGTCGACGTGACGGGTGCATTCATCTACCAGGTTGCGCAGATCCTTTGATGATTTCTTGAGAACCTTTTGCATATTCAGGAGGCCAAGGATGTGTGACTCGATGATCAATCGCTGGTTTCCAAATCGTTCTTCCAGGATCTCCCATGCTCGTGCATAATAATTGTTGTTTTGCAGTGTCTCCAAGTCGATCACACCTGCAGCATCTGCCTTCAGCGAATTTTCCAAATGATACAGCTTTACAGCGTCGGAATCGTTTGATCGCTGCATCATGTCCTGAAACATGGCCTTGAAGCGTGGCCATGCTTCATAACGACCGTCGAAGGTTGGTAGAGGAGTACGGTAAGACTGGGTGTGAATGATGACAGGTTGAAGGGAATTGAAGATCCGTGTGACCTTCGCCTTTACTTGGCCACGCTTCTGGATCAACACCTTCACATCTTCCGAATTTTCCCTTTTCCGGGGTGGGGTGCGAGGTAACATCTCCTCACACGTGAAGGTTTCCGGTTACTCGGAAGGAATACTTCACCCTTCGCAGGTTTTCTTGGCACGGTTCACGTTCGGACTACAATCGCAACGGTGGAACATACACTCACGAAATATCCGCTCGATTTAGTACGACACGTGGATTACGTTTCTATGGTAACTGTGACGGAAGGGCGAAAAACACTCACGGACGTCACGACGAGGAATATCAACAAGCACTAGGGCGCCGCGACGACGGAATAAAATCACGGGGGTTTCACGTTGTCAAAGCCACGCGAACGCTTTTTCACGTTGTCAAGCCACGCAAAACGCTTTTCTCACCTAGCAGCAGCACGCCGGTCCAGCATCCGGATCGAAGGACCAATGTTTTGTATTCGGCCGTAAACACAACGACGATATAGGCGGAACGGTGGACTGGGAGTTACGGACAGCACAAGGTTCACCACCGGGTACCAACTCCAGGGCAGGGTAGGCAGGTATAATCCAAACAATTCACGTACTGCTGCTATTAACTAGTTATTATTTATTCTATTCTTTAATTCTTTGTTTTTCACTGGTTGACTTCCAATTTTATTCTGATCATCCTCGGTTTAGGGGTCCCATATTTATACCAAGTTTGGCTTACTTCGAGAACATTCGAAACAAGCCTGTTACTAACGACGTTGTTACTGTTGCTAACCTAACAACGTCTAGAACAACGTTGTTTGCTAGTTGTTGTTCCTAAAGACGTTGCTGACTTGGATCGCTTTAGGAAGTGTTCGTCTCGTACAGTACTCAATATGTAATTGTATGAAGGGCCAACAACGGTTTGAGTGAATCCGTGGGCAACATCGCCCACGCTCATCCACGGGATAAGCAATTATCTATTTCTAAACTTCGTACCGTTTGCGCGCCAAACCTTCATCAAACTTTCCCATTTTTTTGCACACATTGATAAATTAAACTATTCCCATTTTGCTTGAAATTTAATCGATTTGACATTAAACTCAGATTAATCATATCGATTGATAAAAAAATAATACACTGAAGTCTTTTTTTACACGGTACGTATCCCCAGTGTAAAAAAGACCTGAGTGTACTCTCTTTTTAAAAAATAAGCATCTGAAATTAATCCCAGTTTAATCATAGTTGATTAGATTGAAGATTATATTTTTTGAATAAATTTTAATAATTTTTGATTGAATGTTAATCTTTTTTGATTATAGGGGAAATGTATGTAATGTCGGCCTAAGTGTCCCTAATTTGGGCCCATACATAAATTCAGCAATCGACTAAATTTTCAATAGCAACCAAAAATATCCATTAGTACCATCCCAATGACGCGTTCATCTAGATACAATTGATAAATAGCAGATTTTTAGCGATGGGCCCAATCTTAGATCCAAAGGTAAACATTAGAGCCATTTCCCCTATATCAGTATTGAAAAAGAATTAAATTTAATACTGGAAAGATTATTTCGAATTTAATCATGCATGACTGCTGCCGAAGTAATCATGGCTCGGACTCAATAAGGTTAAGCGGGAATCTGCATACTTTTTAAGCTTTTTTGATTTGATTTATCTTTGAGTGCAGGCATATTGATCAGTTCACGAAGATTTGCCGCACTCTTCTCTCACCCGTAAGTTTTGACAGTTTTGGGTGGTTTGTTTTGGCTCCCATTCGTTGCTATCTCTTTTACTCAGAAGCAAAATGATAGGGAGCAAAAAGTGAGGTTAGGGACCGTGCACTGATCTATTCTGGGGATATGAATCAAACACGAGGGTGGTCTATAAGATTTAAAATATTTTTTTTCAAAATGAGTGTTTTCGGACAAATGGTTTTTAGGCGAATATAATAGAATGAAGAGATTAATTGAGTTGATTTATCTAGCATCTAAAACTGGACTAGATTTATTTTTTTTATGTTGAATGTATAATATACGGGCTTGGGCAGAATATTCGGCACTAGCCAAATTTGGATATCTCCAGGATCATCCGAAAGAAGTTCTTATCATGTCCGGATGTGACCAATTGTGATCCTAAAGATTAAAAATGACCATGAATGGATTAGCTATTGACACTGTTTGATGTGCTGTATGACCACTTTTGGTATTATTTAAATTCTAGTTGCTTCCCCGAGGGTATCCGGAACCTACCACAGAGTAATCAAACTAACTGGTGGGTCTCAAAATGTTATAATTAACATCACCTTGCATGATAAAGAAGATTGATACTGACATAGGCTTAGGGAAAAGCGGTACTGACATTATTGCTAAATAAAATGCGGAGCTAGTCAACGTCGACTACACGACAACGTCGCCAATCTCAATCTCGGCAATATTTAATATAAAGCAAATAAAGCCATCACTAGTACACTTAACCTACTAAATATTTTCCAGCGGCGCCGGTGGTGTAGTGGTAAGCGTGATTACCTCTCACCCCAGCAGGTCTGGGTTCAATCCCAGTCGGTGCCGCCGGGATGTTCTGAGGCATAACATCTCTGATCATGCCTTCCTTCGGAATGGAAATAAAGCCGTTGGTCCCCGGTCCATGAGTTGATGATAGGTCGATAGATAGGGTCCAGGTGTGGGAGCTGCCTCCCTGGCGTCGGTAACATTGGTACTCAGAATGGAAAACAAGTTAGTTGGAAAACAAATCCAGGAAAAAAAAGAACACCGAGCTAAAACAAAACGAATATGCAACAGATGCAATCATGTGGAATTAATGAAACACATCCAACTCTGTCCAACTGCGGTTTATTTTCTTTTATGCTTCGTTAATCGTATTCAAAACTATTTTCTGTTTTCGCTCGTTGGTCCCGCCGGTATCCATCGTTGCGATCTTCGACGGGGAAATTGGCATGCCAATAAAATGCCCCATTTGCACCGGTGTGCGCACCGAAGTCAACGTAATCATCGCCGAAAGCGTCCACCTCATGGAAATTTTGCGTGTTCTGTTGTTCGTCCGTTTTTCGCTGATCTTGCAAAGGGAAGTCTGTGGAAAATCGAGAAATATGTTAAAGATGTTCTGCATACACAGCTTTCCCCCGAAGAACGCGTTACCCACTGAGTTCTACCCACCGCTTTTTCTCGACGGGTTTTCAACCAATCGCTCTGATTTTCTGTGAATGACTAGTTCTCCATTGACACTAAGCACATGCAAAAAATCAGACTGTTTGAAAACCCGTTGAGAAAAAGCGGTGCGTAGAACTCAGTGGGTAACGGGTTCTTCGGGAGATAGCTCGTTGGTTGATGACTGATGACAAACGTACTGTACTCTACGATGATACCGTGTGTTGTATGGGGTAGTGAATGAATCAGTAGTAAGCACGCGAACAATGTACTGGGAAGAAAATTCATTTTCGGTGCGTCGCAGGCTAGTAATAGATGGAAAATGAGCTGAGAAATCATTCGTCTACCATATTTATATCACACCGTCACCGAAATGGCAATGTTCAGTAGAGCGAACATGATTTTACATAATTATTATCTCATTGCCCTTACAACATAATAGAATTAGAGTCGGATAATTTCGAATTGATCATTTTGATTCAGCCTGATTTGACTATTTGACTCGGATTTTATCATTCACAGTTTCACAAGTTTTTCATTTATTTTGGTCAATCTGCATGCGCATGTGCAAGACATTAGGGTGGTCCATACAGCTGATTAGTTCTAAATATCAACTTTTTAGTTATTTGAGATAGACCAGCGTAATGTTGGACAAAGTTGTAGAACAAG